CCAGTACTTTGATTTGCATCATGCTACTCTACCTCCTTCCTTTATGCCAATCCTAATCTTTTTAATATTACATTTTAATTTATTAATTAAATGTTTTCATTTACTTTCCATCCAGCCACAGTTTCCCCCTTCTCTCCTCCTGCCTCCTCCCCTCTACACCTACCCACTCTTCCTCCCTCTCCTTTCAGAAAGGGGCCAGCTTCCCATGGGTTTGAACAAAGCATGGCAATATTAAGTTGAGGCAAGACCAAGCTCCTCCCCCAGTATCAAGGCTGGGTGAAGCAAGCAAGCATGGGGAATGGGTTCACAAAAACTAGTTCAAGTGCCGGGGGAAAAGTCCTGAGCCCACTGCTAGAAGCCCCACAAATAGACCAAACTACACAACTGTCACACATGCAGAGGGCCTAGGTTGCTCCCATGCAGGTTCCCTAGCTATCTGTCCAGAGTCTGTGAGCTCCTATGAGCCCAGGTTAGTTGTTACTGTGGGTTTCCTTGTGATGACCTTGATCCCCTCCCCAGCTCTTATAATCCCTCCACCCTCTCTTCAACAGAACTCCCAGAGCTCAGCCCAGTGCTTGGCTGTGGATCTCTGCATCTGCTTGATGAAGGTTCTATGATGACAATTAGGGAGTCACCAATCTGATTATAGGAGATGGCCAGTTCAGCCACCCTCTCCACTATTTCTGGGGTCATTCTTGTGTATTCCTGGGAGTTTCCCTGGCACCTGGTTTCTCCCTAAGCCCAAACTGCCTGCCCCACATTCCCCCATCTCCTTTCTTACCCACCCTGCCCAATCTGAACCCTCATGTTTCCATCCCCCTTACCCCCAGTTTACCCAGGACATCTCTTCTATTTCCTCTTCCCAGGGAAATCCATGCTTCCTTGTTTGGGCCCTCCTTGTTACCTCGCCTCTCTGGGGCTGTGGATTAAAGCCTGGCTATCCTTCACTTTCACCTAATATCCACTTGCCAGTGAGTATATACCATGTTTATCTTTCTAGGTCTGGGTTACCTCACTCATGATGTCAATCCCTAAACTTAAACTCGGATTTTACATACAGTATCTAAGCTACTCTTGTCGGCCTATATGAAGAAATCAAATCATGATACACGAAATGCCTGGCAGTACAGTGTAAAAGGTCCTGACTTAGGACCCTGCCATATGGGAAAGAGATGCAGCTTAACTGACAGGTTGCATACATATTAGTTATCCCCAGGGACTAGATCAGAGTCACAGCACTGCTCTAAAAGATAAAACAATTAATTACAGAACAACCTCTAGCAAGAGAAGACACCACCAAGGGATATGGAATTTGTAAGAGTTACTTGTTTAGCTGGAATGCCTACTTCTAGCCTGACCAGAGCACTTCTCTGATTTGTGTTCCTGGTAGAATCTTTTGTTTCTCACCGAGATTTTTAGCAAGATGAGCTTTTCTGCAGCTTGTTTTCCACTTATAGTATACATACTGACCCAGGAACAGCCTCTGTTGATTCATTCATGGGATTCCCACCTCCTCCTTTTAAGACTGCCTCCACGGAGGTTTGTGTAAAAGGACATAGAACTCGTTCATAGATATGTGGAGCTCAGAACCCAACAAGACACTTGGAGTGATGGTGCAGGTGATTATAAGAAGCTCAGGCAGGGTGAGTGTTCTTGGGTTGGCATGTGTAGAAGAAAGGAGTGTTTCTATGCTGTTGTAACACCAAGACTGCCTAGAGTTTGTTCCCCCGAGTATATACACATCCTCAGTTTTCACCCAGCTGGCTCATCTTCAAAGGCCAGATGGCTCATCTTGGAAGGAAACATCTTAGTTCCACTTCCTTTTTTTGACCATCTAAATGACTTCTAAATGGTTTTGCTTTACTCTGTATGTGTATGTCATTGCTAGAGGTGTTTGGAGTATTTTTATGTGCTTTAAAATTTCTGGAAACCACGAGAGGGGCTATCTATTTCATTATTAGCATCAGACTTGAGTAGGAGCTTCTGTACCTATTGCTCAAATAATATGGAGTGCAGGGACCTATGGAAACTACATGGCTGAGTTCAGATGAAAAGAAGGTCACTAGAGGAAGAAGTGGCAGCTCAAAGCACAATGAATGAGTTCATGTTTTCATGACTCACACTGACATGATATACTATACATTACTTTCTTTTTGAAGGAACAGATTTTGCGTGTTCTTGTAGGAGGCATCTTCCTAAGGTCTCATTATCCTGAATAGTGTGCTCCAGATTCAGCTCACCATTCATTTCTATCTTGCTCTAGCTTTCTCTTGCTCTTAGTTTGTTCTCTATTAGTGTGTCTCTGTGTCTGTCTGCCTATCCCTTTCTCTCTTGAACAAACTCAAGCCTTTGTGTCCTTGTGGATATTGGCTAAACACTATAAAACTAAGCTACATCCTTATTCATTGTACTCCCAACATGGTCTCACTATGCAGCCTAGGATGGTCTTGAACTTGAAATCCTCTTGTCTGTATCTTCTAATAGCCGTGTTTACAGGAGTACACCACTATGTTAGATAGCAATTCTCTCTTGCTGTTCCATCACTCTGCAGGCTAGTTTTGGGGGGAGGGTCTGGTCGGGATTTCAACCTTGAAAGCAGAGCAAATCTGAAAGATTGTTATTAGGCATACAGAGGCCTAGCTGGAATTTTAGAGGACCAACCTAGACAATCACTGACATGAATGGACTTGAATCTTCTCAAGCAGAACTTTCCTCAAGGAGTCCAGTGAACTGGTAGTCTCTAACTTCAGGTGCTATCAAGATCTGCTTAGCTTTCAAGAGAAATATGTGTTATTCCTTGACATCTACCAGCTACTAGTTGATAAAAGAATGGCTGAAATGACTTGTTATTTGCTGTCTTTGCAAAGGAGTTCTTCATTGTCCTGGCCAAGACTTTCTCAGAAATACACTATAGTCTGTGGCTCTTCTTGATGATTCTTCTTCTTTCCCTTCTTCAGTGGCATCAGGATGTATAATGTAGTCTGAAGCCTTTCCTTCCTTCTAATGTCTCCCTTCCTTGTCTTTCACCAGTATCACTCTCAAGAACCATCTTGCCTTTCTAATTATGTTTTAGCATCAATTCAAAGGGTCCCACCTAACACATGGGAGAAATCTTCTCTATCCCCATCTCTACATCCACAGCAGGGAAACTGAGGTCTCTATATTATTCAAGTCAACCAAAACATTCTAAATTCCAACTCAGTATTCTTTCTCAAACTTTGGCCAACTATTCATGACCGTAGTTAGTGTTTGCAGATGTATAAAGAAACCACATTCTATTTACTTGGACATTAAGCACTGTTTCACTTTTGTTAACTCTGTTTTAGCTCCACGTGAGGTATGTCTGAAAAACTTTGGTTTTAATGTCCTAATTATTTTCCTAATGTTTATTAAAGACAAAAGTTTTCGGTAAGTGAATACTGGTGTGAGCACTATCTAAAGTCACCTCATGTACTGTCAATAAATATATAAAGCCCCACATTTTAAACACTATGCTGTATATAACTGCCTTGTGGAACATAGAAGGCTGAGGGAAAGATAAAATGAGAGGGATGAAGGTAGGAAAATGGAAGAATGAAAGTGGACTATTGGTTAGGAAGAAACTGAAAAACTCATAAAAACTGTTTTAGGTACCTTGGTATAGCATCCGTTATTCCCTGCCACACCCAAGTCTAATCTCCATTGACTTAAGACATCGCTTACTTACCAGTTGCCTAAAACCCAAATCGAGTATTTTTATATATGAACTAAGGATTGGAATTTTTTCTCCTACAAGAGTCAATTCATTTATCCCCAAATTGGATGGAAGGGCTTCACTTTGAGCAGCTTAGTGAAGATGTACACCAAATCAGAAGTCAGTATCATTTGGATGCTTTCTAAGAAAGAGGCTTGAGTAGCATTTTTTTTTTCATTTAAAAAATTGTAAATAAAACAAGATATTTCCCTTAATTTAAGAAATCTAAGAGCACAATTACAATAATCATTTACCATTGCAAATATTCTTTTGGTTTAACAGTTTTATAATGATCATGATTTTGCTGTGCTAATGAAACAAAACTATGGTTTGGACTCATGATAATTTAATAGATTCATAGTAGTATAGTGATAATTTAACAACCCCTTTTCAGTCTGTAGAAACAGTATTATATAGTATCTTCACCAATAGGCATTTCTAATTTATAAGCCCTCTTGTCACTCACTACACAAGTTGTCCTTTCCGAATAAGAAGAGGTATGGGGTGACCTTGATGGAATATTAGCTTCTTGGATGTCATGGATTTTAAAGTCATGAGGTGTTTGAATATTCAGATCCAGGTTGTGTTTTGTGTAAATAGAAAAGTGCATCATGTTGTATCTGATTTGAAAAGATTTGTTAGTCTGTGGCAGCACACATCATGTACTGGTATTGGATTCATTGGGAGTCATCTTGTATCCTCTGTCTCTTGGTTTACATTACAAACCTAATTAAAACAGTTGACATCCAAATCGAATCTAAGAATATTGAGGAACTATATCTGATTACTATTACCATTATTGTTATTATTTGTGGTGTCAGAGATTGCAAGAAATGTCTGCTTCTACCCAGGCAAGCACTCTACTACTGAGCTGTTTCCTGGGTCATTTTGGGAAAGTTTTTATTTTGAGATGGGATTTCACGATGTTTACCAGAATGACCTTGAAGTGGCTAGGCAGCACAGGAAAAATTTTGAATTCTGACCATGCCTCAGCCTCCCAAGTAGCTGGGATTATAGGCTGGTTCCACTAGGCCCAACTCAAATTATCTTTTAAATAAGAAAAGAAGAGAGCTTTGCTGCTGAAAGAGACAGCAAAAATAGAATACAAAGCCACCATAGGCTGGTTGTGTATTTACTGAATTTATTTCTCTAGGCATCTAGAGAGCACATTAGGTGCTTCCTGTATTTCCTTTATGGCTGATTATAGATGACACAAACTAAATGGTCTATAGTGCCCAGGGACACTAGAACTATTTTTTGTTCTTACCAGGTTAGCAAGCATGTAGTGATAACCTCTTGAATGTTTCCCCAGGATCACAACCTGCAGAAAGAAGAAATGAGAAATATTCCTTATTCAGTGGGATTTTTCAATTACACAATCAGTGGGATGGCTAGAATGAATGCTTTTAAATGATCAACCATGTGGTACGATTTTTTTTTTTTTACATACAGTAGAACTGCTGCTAATCAGAGTAGCTTCCTTTTTGTTATATTTCACTTGTAGCCAGATAAAACAGGAATAGTTGTCAATATCAAAGTTAAAATGTCAAAACAAGGGGATAAAAACACTTGAAACTTCCAGGTCAGTAGCACCATTGTCACTTAAAATAAATGGCAAAAGCAAAGCTGATGATCCTTCACCCATGAACTGGATTTCTGTACTTAGCTGTTGAGATGGAAAATGAGCTGAACTTAGCATACAAATTAGAAAATAGAATGTACTGTACATTTTTTTTGGTTATCTGGAAAGCTTAGGGAATAGAGCACTCAAAGAATGGGGTTAATGGGATTTTCAGGTTAACTGAGGTTGTTTTGCTTATTGAAAACTTTTCTAAATGCTTGCCGTCCTTTTCTTGCCTTAGCATGAATGATGTGTGGCCATCTGTATATCTTTTGACACTGAAGGCAATGCCCTAGGGTATTCAGAGGGGTTTTCCTTCAGGGGACATTTGGCAATGTCAGACAACACATTTGGCTGCCATTGCTGGGACGTTTGCTATTAGCATATAGTGAATAAAGCCAGATTTGCAGCTAGATGTCTTCCCATGTTTAGGACAGTCCCCACAACTATAATCATCCGGTCTCAAATGGCAGCTGTAGTGAGTATGAGAAACACTTCCTCAGAGTCATCATAATTATCATTATTTTCATCAGTCGTGCTGCATTACATACTTAGCCTTCAGTTTACAAAGTACTCTTCACTGTCTCATTATGGCAGTGGGCTAAATATTTTCCAACCAAATGAACTGGCTGTCTTTTTCTTTTCTAAATGCATATGTTTATTTCCTTGTAACAAAGGACAGCAAGAATTTTTGGTTCATTAAGCATTTTACAAAGCATCGAGACACAGGCACTGTCCTAGATAAAGGGAACAAGGAAGGGGGCAGTACACAGATTAAAGGAATAGCCTGGTGTGTGCTTAAGTTAGGTACCAACCTGAAGCTAATATGGTAAGTAAAACAAGGGAAAACTATAAATACAATGGATGTTTGCAACAAACCGTAGGAGGAAGTAATGCAAGTTAGAGGCTGTAGAGCTAAGCTTTATTACGAGTTCCTTTTTGGATACAGCTGGATGCAGCTGTCAGGGGTATGAAAACAATGGGTGAAGGTCTCAGAATTGTCCACATAGCAAACTGGAGGTATATATGAAAGTCTGCAATAATAATAGTTATCACAACCACCCTTATTTTAATGTCTAAAATATGCTTGCTTTGTACTAGATGTTGCATGTGTGAGTAATTTCTAGAAAATTTGAAGTCTAATTTTACACATGAAGAATCACAGCCCAAAGGAAGTTTAAATAGTTTCTCCAAGACCACAGAGCCAGGAAATGGTAAATCTGGAATTAAAAGCTGGCTCTTTCTTCCCATGGAAATACTGGCAGTGCAGTTAGATCCTCCACATCTGTGGGTTCCACATCCACACATCTAAACAATCCCACATTAAAAACATCTGAAAAATCATTTCAAATAGAACATATGCAGACTATTTTCTTGTTTCTGTTCCCCCAAACGGTGCAGTGCAACTATTTATTTAGTATTTATTTATGTGGCAGTAATTGTTAATATAAGTAATATAGGTGTTGCTTAAAGAGTATAGAAAGATGTTAATAGGATCTCTCAAATACTATGTGGTTTAAAATAAGTGACTGGTGCACCTACCTATTTTGGCAAATAGCAGAATTGGAGGACTGCTTCAGAACCAGTGCCCTCAGCATGACTGTATGTCATGTTTCACTTTGCTTCATGAGTTTTTCTACTTTATGGTGGTGTCTAAATTGTATACATGCTAGAGAGGTTGTACATTATTTATCTGAACTAATAATGATGGAAGCCAGGCCTGTGCATGGTAGAAACACACTCTACTGCTTAGCACCATCCTCAGTTCTAGAACAGTATGTGAACCATGCTAGCTGTTTTCCAGTTTTAGTACAGAACACAATAGGTTACATGAGCCAATCAACAGTTTCTTATAAAATGGGCTTTGTGTTAGATTATTTCATCTGACTAGAGGCTAATATACATGCTCTGAGTTTGTTTAAAGTAGATTAGGCTGAGCTAGGATTTGAGGTAGGTTAAGGATATTATCTGCATTTTGACTTACTATATTTTCAATTTCCAATCACGTTAGTAATGCTAAATGCTGATGATAGTTCTAATTTTTCTTTTTTTGCAGAGAAGGAAGACAAGATATGTAAGGCATGAGACAAAAAGGGAAGGTTTAGGTTGGCCCATAGAAATGGAATGGTACCTTTGAGTAGAGTATCATGTTTGTTATTATAAGAACTCAAGTCATTGCTTTGTGTGCGTGCGTGCGTGCGTGTGTGTGTGTGTGTGTGTGTGTGTGTCTGTGAGACAGACAGACAGAGAGAGAGCGGGGGAAGAGAATGAGAGAGCACAAGAGAGATGTTTTCAATTAATTTAAAATATGAGCCACATTTCAGACTGATTATTTATGAAGGAAAAAGAAAGGTTAATGAATGTCTTGAGGGGTGATTTCTCATGCTGCCATGACACAAAATAAGCTGTTAGGTGTCTTCTGGGATGTATGCTTCAGTGTCTGCTTGTGAGAAACATCCTTGCTGCTGACATTTGTTAACTTTTGGTGGCAAGTTGGGACCATACATTCGTTGAATTTTTAATTCACTGACAACCCTCAACATAATAAAGCTAGAGGGTTTTGAATTCTTCAAGAAAAATGAACAATATTCCTAAGGACATGTGACAAACTCAAAGAAAAATAAGGAAGTCTGTTTCAGGGGAAGCGAAGCTTATTGTACTTTTCCATATAAGGAAGGCAAGAAGGAACATGAGACAATGGTAGTGTCATCAGAAGAGGCCTGGATGACAATCCAGAGGTTAGATTTGGTCATGCACTCACTGGTTGACTGTGGACTCAACTTTCTGAGCCTCCATGAACTTATACACAATTTAGCAACTTGCTCTTCTAGCAGGGTTGCTCTGATCAATCTGGATAATATCTCCAAATGTGTTTGTTATGTGATTAATGAAATATGCCACATCACTTCCATATAGAGAGGGGTTGTTCATCAAGACATTGCATTTTTCAGCTCTAGGAAAACTTAAAGCTTTTCGAATAACTGCTTTGGTCCATGTCCAGATGGTGTGCTCAGAACAAATGGACTTATTCGAAGGTAGTTCTCTCCCATCACCCTTTCTAGAGTTAGCCTTGAGTTGGAGGAGACGGGAAAGTTATCTAAAGATAGGAACAGTTAGGTGTCACAAAGCTGCTGCACTGAAGCCCATAATTAATTCTTCATCCTTGCTTTCAGTGCCTTCTTAACTCTGATTTAACACATAGTTCTTACCAATCTTGGTTTTCCAGTTCCCAGTAAATTAAACACTGCAAGCTAGAAGGGGTGTGTGTGTGGAGGCAGGGAGTGATATCAAGGAGAAGTGCATTAGTACCAGAGGAAGTGACAGACTGACTTAAAGGAGAAGGAAGAAACAACAACAGAAAAACAGACAACATTGTGCTACGGCACAGTATATTCATGGATGGTTGTTGTGAGTGCCTGAGTCATCAGACAATAGTTTACTTTGATCAGACATTTCTGATGAAAATCCCTGAAGTATGTAATATGTTTTATAGAAGGCTTCCAACTGAAATGTTCTAGTCGTTAAGAGAGTGAGCCCCAGTTGTCTTGAGATAGTCTGTGGAGCTGCTTAGAATCCTACTGATGGAAGTTAAATGAGGCCTCAGTGAGAAATGTGCTATATTTTTTTCTTGGCCTTCCCTGTTAGATTTAGAGGCTTGTGAAAATAGGGAAGGATGGGGTTATTGAGTATAACTTGGTGCACAAAAGGACTGGATAGTTAATAAGAATGTTCTTGTTCTGTTAATCCTCAATCTTTATTCTTTCCATCTGTTACAGATGAATGAGGCATAAATTGTACCCTTTCTTATTTAATGACTCTGGTAACCAAAAGAATATTCAACTTTGCTTTCACAGTAATTATAATAGATCTTTCTGAATTAGTTTCAGAACTTCAAGGATAAAAAGCTGTTTTCACACTCAGATGTGACATTTAAGGAAGAAATACCAAGTTCCCACATCCATGTTCTGCAGTCATTTAGCTTTTGTAGGATTTGTTGTGGATGATAGATGGTCTGCTGTGATGGCAGGCATGATAAATGTAATAAAGGAGAAATGTGTGAAATGTAGATAAAATTCATTGTTTTAGGGAAATGTATTTTCATCTTCATATATATAGCATCTCCAAGGGGGGGAAACCCAGTTACAGTTCTCATTCACTGAGCAGAGGTTAGCTTGCAGAAGAAAGATCTCATATATACTATCACTGGGCCATGTAGACACTGTCAAACTTTCTGTGAAGGAAATCAATGAATCATAGTTTACTCATTTGGGGGTGATTTTCCCTTCTTAACTTGCCCCTCATCCAGTTATCTGTGAAACAGAGTTATCTCTGAGTAGTTAAAAATGATTTATAAGACATTCAGTTGGGTTTTCTCGCAGAGACCCTTTTTTCCCAATTTCGTGTTTAATCTAGACATTTTCATAATTTTAGAAATTTGAAATGAAATTGCTCCACAAGACTACTTGAGAGAGGCCCACATATCCTCTGGGAGGCAAAAGCATCTGTTTTTCTATGCTCACATTTTAGAAAAAAATATGTGTGTGAAGAAGTGTGTATGTTTCCCCCCCTTAGATCCATCTGGTATGCAGATTAGGTTATTTGCAGACCTAAGTAGCTCCATGTTTGGATTTTCTACATCAGTGCCAGAAAAGGATCTATGGAGAAAGATTGATCTTGCTTTGAGTACAGAACATGCCTTG